AAAAAAAAAAAAAAAAAAAGAAAACAATGAGATGTGAGAGCTAATGACACTAAGTGAGACAATATAGGTAATGACCTAGACCAGCAGTTCTTAAAGTATGATCTGAGGACCGGTGGGGATTCCTGAGACCCTTTCAAGGAGTCTGTATGGTCCTCCTTTTTCCAACCACATCTCTGTGTGAAGCTTGATTTTCTTCTTATACTACATCCCCAGTAACGTTGCAATGGATTGAATGCAGAAGCAGATACAAGAACCCAACCGCCTTATGTGGAAGCCAAACGTGAACAAGAATTGCAAAAATGTAAAACAATGCCACTCTTTTCCAACCAACTTTTTTAAATGTTTTTATTTATTCTTGAGAGGGAGAGAGAGAGAGACAGAGAGAGGGGAGAGAGAGCCCTGATGTGGGGCTCGAACCCATAGACCATGAAATCATGACCTGGGCCAAAGTTGGACACTTAACCGACTGAGCCACCCAGGTGCCCATCCAACCAATTTTTTGTGTGTTTTGGAAAGCACTTTTTTTTTCTTACTTTTTTTTTTTTTTTTTTTTTTTTTAAAATAGGCTTTCAGTTAGGGACTTAAACTCATGATCCTGAGACCAAGAGTCACATGCTCTACCCACTGAGCCAGCCAGGCACCCCTAGAAAGCATGTTTTTCATAAAATTACTTTATGTTAACATGTAATGGGTTTATTATTATTATTATTTGAAAATGAGTAAGTAAATATTTTTAAAATATCTGTTTTAACATAAGGGGCACCTGGGTGGCTCAGTCGGTTAAGCGTCTGACTTCAGCTCGGGTCATGATCTAATGTTTTGTGAGTTTAAGCCAGGCTCTGGGCTGACAGCTCAGATATTGGAGGCTGCTTTGGTTCTGTGTCTCCCTCGCTCTCTGCCCCTCCCCCGCTCGCACTCTGTGCGTGTGTCTGTCTCTGTCTGTCTCAAAAATAAATAAACATTAAAATATATTTTTTAATTAAAAAACTTCTTTCAAATATCTGTTTTAATGTCAATAGGTTGCAGGGTAGAACCCAATATATAACTTACATTAACAAAGCTCTTTGAGATCCCCACTAATTTTCAAGAGTATAAGGAAGTCCTGAGACCAAAAAGTTTGAGAACCACTGGCCTACAACTTAAGTAATGTCAACAATGGGTGGTATATTAGAATAAATAGAATTATTGTTTTTCAGATTTATTTGCAACATCCCCAACAACTAATAAGGCTAGAACTAAGACAGGTGAGTTAGACACATTCACTCAGAAAACACCTCCCAAACACCCAATCTGTGGAGCTCTTATACTGGTGGCCGGTGAAACAGGAAAAAAGTGACAGGAAGACATGGCCAGTGTGCCTTTATCTGCTGGGACTGACGATCTGATGAGGGGCTGATCTCAGCTACTCTGGGTCACGTGTCTGCTGCAACTAGCTCTTCCAGAAGCCAGCCGGTAGAGGGAAGTAAATGGGGGTGGGAGTACTCACTTCCCATCTCCTCTGTGACTCTGTTTAAAGTTTAGGAGATGTGGGGCGCCAGGGTGGCGCAGTCGGTTAAGCGTCTGACTTCAGCCAGGTCACGATCTCGCGGTCCATGAGTTCGAGCCCCGCGTCGGGCTCTGGGCTGATGGCTCAGAGCCTGGAGCCTGTTTCCGATTCTGTGTCTCCCTCTCTCTCTGCCCCTTCCCCGTTCATGCTCTGTCTCTCTCTGTCCCAAAAATAAATAAACGTTGAAAAAAAAAATTAAAAAAAAA